CCTTCGTATGGAAGAGATTTATTTTTATTAGGTTTTATTTTGTTTCTACACATTGCATCTCTTTTTTTCTTTCTACACGAGGCTTTAAAATCCCTCGTCTCTGCGCCATCGTCTCGAATAGCGATTCTTTTTTGCGAAAACAAGAATTTTTTTTCTGATTAATCGAGAGCTGATCGACCGCACTGTGCATTCTCGAAAGCCCGTATTGTTTATTCCACGATTGGTAGACGCGATTGAAATCTTTCTCTCCTGTCGACCTTTGTCTTTCGCCTCTTTTGATTCAGAATGTCCAGCCACAGGCTGCAACCGTCCATTTAAAATATTACGTCTTTTCCGTAAATTGTCGAGATATTTTTAAGTACTCTTTTCAATCTAATCGTTAGATACTGGTAAGAAAAGTAATGATTATTTGAAAATAATTTTCTGAAAGATTTAATTCGATATTTTTTGACATCGATATTTATACCCATCATGTTATTATTGCATTTTATAGACACAAATTTTGAGTCACCCTGCATAATATCGAGGCTGCAATTACGGAAATTAAAGCTTCAGAGAAAATAAGTAATTCCAGAAAGTCAACTGTTTAATATTTAAACTCAAATAGAACTACTCATGTGCATAATTGCAGATATCTCGACAAAGTGCTATATAGCGGTAATCATAAATTCTCGACGCAACGACGATATCGTTACAGATTAAAGTAGAACAAAATAACACGTTTCCCTTGGTAGTTCAATATTTCAGCAAAAAATCAAAGGCATATAATAGGCATATAATACAGAACTATTTTAGTTATTTGTATACATTGCCGTTGTATCTTAAAATTATTTTTGACGTTTTTGCGATAAAATTAAAGATATATCGCTATCGCGTAAATATACCTTAAAAAAATATAATAATTTTAGATATAAACGCAACGATGATTAATCCTGCTATTTGTGAGGAAACGACTCGATGTGATAAAAACACGTTGGCGCGTTTTGTTATGGCTAGTGTGCGTGTCGCGAAAATCTCATCACTTAAGGCTTAATAACCAGGATACGCAGATTCCAACGAGAATGCGCTCATTTATTTCCGCGTCTTTTGCCGCGATAGTTTTTCCTCTTTTTGTCGCGCGTCCGCTTTTTCTTCCCTTGCCCTTCGAGTGCGAAAGACCGAGCGCGAAAAAGAGAGAGGGACGTCGGTCGGGCCGGGTCGAGCCCGCTAAAAAACGCCAGTGCGAGCCACGATGACTTTCGGAATCATTTTTCAAAATGTCTGCCTCTGCCTCGAGGGGGGTGACCCCGACGGGCGGCGGTGGCGAGGGGGACAAGGGGGTGGCAGAGGGGTGGTCAACCCCCGTGGCGTAGGGTGGCAAGATGGCGTCGCACGGTAAATCGATGGAGGCTAGTCACTGCAGGCGCCCTCGCTTTCACAGCTCCGACCCTCTTCCCCCTTTCTCCCCGTTCAACCCCCAGACCACCACCCACTTTGCTTCCCCCCCGTTCTCCCCCTCATTTTCGAGCTTCACGCAAGCGCTCGTACCGTGAACGTCGAGTCTTCGGTCATCTAAGCATAATTTTGTACGAATCTACCATAGTAACCTGCGTTTTGCTGAAAAATATAAAAAGTAATTTTTATATTTTTTTTATTCGCGGAAAAAAATCAATTTTCGAGAGGACTTGAAAAAAAGAAATAAAAATCTAACTTATCGATATATATTTTTCTTTTCTCTTTTCTTTTATTCTTGACAGAAATCTCTACACGAGAAGTCTAGTAATATAATAATATTTACTAATATGAACTTATCGATAATTATATTAGAGTATATCAATCTGCAAATAACGCGATACTCGAAAGTAAATGAAAAGTTTGCGGGAAAACGCAAGCCGATCGCATTCCGATATGATTTTTCCGATAAACCTATCTCATTTTAATATTCAACATCTGTAAACGCACCGGAACAAAGGCGATAGCCGCTACAGATCGGGTAGTATTTGTATCGGATGCATCCCGCGCACACTGTGTACAATAAAAATTTCAAGCGGATCGTTAAAACTGGTTTTTTATCCCGCGCACTGTGCGAACGAACCTGTTTGATTCTCTGTCTGAGAAATGTAACCGCCGAGGGCGAGAACCCGCCGCGGCTTTTAAAAAGAACACACGCCACAACAGGTTTCCGTCTCTTAATCCTCCTGCGCTCGTTTAACAGTCTCTCGCGTCAATGTGCAAATGAAAATTTTCATAGACACGTTAACGTCGCCTTCCTCGTACCGGCTAATGCTACGAAATTTTCATAAGTGCGCTAATTTCATTATACTAATTAGAATATTTTAAAATTTACGTAAACGCGCGACACGGGGGCCACGCCGTAGGACTCAATTACGAATAAAACCCGCGAGCACGAGCGAATTAAATGTCTCGGTGGGAAAACACGTGTTTAGAAGACCATTTTCCTGGCCATTTAACACACATGTAAGTTGTTTCTCTCACGTGTCACTCTCTATATTGCTAGCCGAAGACGTATGCAGAGCGAAATACCGATTGATCAAACAGATGTTCCGATATCGTCTATTATCGGAAATCCACGTCAGATGTTTGACATTGATGCTCGTCTGAGATTTATGCATGTCGCGAAATGTGTTTTGATTATACTATAGATAAGCATCGATATAGTCACATTATAAACTCGATGTATTTTTCCAATATTCTGACATCTTAAATTAATATCGATAAAAAAATATTATTGCTGTGAATTAAACGTATCGATATGACAAACTGACATATTAATATCTTTTTAATTCGCTGACGTATTAAAATATATAAATTTAAACACAATATTTATTATTTTTTTAAATATCAATTTTTTATATATTATATGTATCATATATATATTTAAGTATTGTTTACTAAATTAGATTTAATAAATGAGAGCGAAGAAGATATATTTATTTTTGGAGAATTTGCTTTTAAATCTTATCTATATTTTGCCCTATATCATAAAATTATTATCTTTTGAAAGTGAACGTATTTGTTCTTACACATATCATATTGTGATATAAATATATATTTAATGCAAATAGTATTTAAAACGCGATTAAAAAGTCAATATATATGTGAATAATTAATATTTATCGATGTTTTATAAGAATGATTAATAATGCGGATAACAAGATTGATATACAAATGATTGATTGTCCAAAATAAAGTTACAGTCAAAGCGTGAATTGCGTAAAAACTCCATTTACTTGATAGCTTAATTATATCATTAACCCGATATTAACTCGATAATTAATATAATAATATATAGAGAATAATAATTTACTTAAAATATTAAACTCTTTCAAGGGATATATCGAGATTTTATAGAGAATATGTATGTGTGTGTGAATTAACTAATTATATATTGTATTTTAAATACATTTATTATTTAAATTTAAATGATTTATCGAATTATTACGCTGTATTAATTTGCATTTTCATATTTTTAGTGTTTTGCATGCAGTTCTTCTCTCACTCTTTCTCTCTGTATCTCTCTGCTTGATAAAATATCCATTAATATTTCTACATTACTTTTGATTGTTCCTTTTAATTTTTAAAATTTTTTAAAATCCTAATAAAGCTTTGTTAAGTTAAATCATTTGCTGATTAATCGCATCGAATAATCTACAAAGATTGAAACAAATTCACATGACACATACGGAAAAATGACACATTCAACATGATAGTAGAATCAGACAATGCGAATAGGATAATGACCTTAAAAAAATAAATGATATCTTATCAAAATTGATATTATTAATGTGATAAATAATCTCTTCTTAAATATAATGTGTTTCAAACTACTGAACTGTGCGTATACTTTAGAAATAAGTAGTTTTTTTTCTGACTACATGTATATGTTATATTCATGTATATTTGATTTTTTATATTTGTGAATTGTTTCAATGAATAATGTATGATTTCTGCAGATTCCTTAATAATAAATAAATTTTTTAAATTTTATTTAAATATCTATATATCGTTCTATTTAAATATCTATATATCGTTCTATTTAAATATCTATATATCGTTCTATTTTACTAATTAATTGTTTCTATTTCCTTGTCTGCTCTAATTATTCATTTTCAGATTTTTTTATAATATATTTTTTTAAATATTTTCTTAAAATATTTTCTTTTTCTCTTAAAAATTAAAAAATATAATTTTTTTTATCTAAGTACATTCGTTTGTTATTTATCATTTGTAAATTTGTATAGTATCATCTATACAATATTTATAAATTTATATTTTTTATAGAAATTAATCTTTCCTTAATATTTGGGAAAGCACTTTAATTCTTTTATATATTTTATTATTTTTCCTGAAGGCGCTATGTTTATAATTAACGTTTATAAAAAATTAAAAATTAAGATGTTAATATCTGATAATGAAATATAATCAAGATTTATACATACTAATTTTTTTCGTTTATTTTATATTCATTTTATTAAATTTAATGATTATTTCTTATATCGATAACTACTTTCTCATTGAAACATCTTTCAAAGTATATTGTATTTAAACGTATTAGAGCTTGTTCGCGATAATAAATAAGCATTGTTTTTCAGAGATCCTCTTTCTCGTGAATCTTCTTTATCAATTTTTTTTCATTGCAATAAAATTCAGATGATTATAACTCTGTTTTGCATTTGATATCTTTTTAAATATTGTTTGAAAGATAGAGAGAGAGAGCGAGAGAGAGAGAGAGAGAGAGCGAGAGAGAGAGAGATTTTAAAAAGTAGTTGATGTAGATAATTAAAAGCACAAGATAAGTTTTAGATTTCAGAAAATATGGGTATAAATATTGATGTGAATGTAACATAAACTGGATATTTCAAATATTATCGAGCAATCACATAGTTGCAAAATATATACAATTGCAACATAAAGATATAGGAATTTATCTTATCATTAAAATTGTACATTAAGATAACTGTGTATTAAGATAGCTGAATATATAATCGCTTTATAAACAGCTGTACAAGCAATGTTAGTAGCAGAATAACGACAAACATGGAGACACGTGTTTTGATTGATCTCTTGCTTATCTGCGCCGCGACTGGTAAAAATATTTGCTTATTTTCTCTAAGAAAAAGATGAATTTTTACGCTATTTTACATTTACACATTGAGTTTCTAAAATCTAAACAGAAACATAAATTTGTTGCATGCAATATATTATTATTTATATGATATATATTTCTCTCTTTTTCTTATTTCTTGGAAGCAAATTTTTTAAAGAATTAGTTTTTTAAAGAAAATCGATAGCAAAATTTTATGTGATAGAATATATTTTAGAAACTTGATATTTTCGAAATGTAACTATCTCGAGCGTAATGACACGTTTATATTAAAAATATTTTATGATATTTTTCTGCGAAAAATAATAGAAAAATAAAATTCTTGCATTAAAAATCTATAAAATTCAATGACACTCAACAAGAAGATGTCTTTTTTCATTTTATAACATTATACGTTATGAATTTTATATCCGGATTGTAGGACTTTCAGTGGAAGAAAAATCTTATAATAATGATATCTTTACTTCAATGGATTATGCAATATTTAAAAAAACGATAGCATACGTGTATGATGATAACGAGAATTTGGTGGAACTAACATTAGATGACGACGTAGAGAGTTTAGACGAAACTCAAATAGATATCGCAAATCGTGTCTTGTTTTTCTTATACATGAAAAACAATCCTACTATACCAAAAATACTTTACATTAATGATAAGGATGTTTTGAAGAATAGCGGTTTTGATCCTACCAAACCAACACGTTTTATAATTCATGGATGGATGAATTCTCGGAGTAGCTCAGCATGTCTTCTGATTCGCGACGGTATGATGGATTTGAATTATTAATGAAAAATACAGAATGCGATTTCTTTATATACATAAATATAAAGTCTAATTACATCAGAAGATAATATCAAAACAGCTTGTCTTAAATTGTCAATTTATTGTTTTTTATGCTGCAGCTTATGTGACGAATGAGGATTGTAACGTTATTGTCGTTGATTGGAGTAAGATAAGCATGAGGCCTTATATTTGGGCTAGCAAACGTGTTAGCATGGTCGGTCAATTCATCTCCACCATGATTGATTTCCTCGAAGAGCAAGGAATGAATCTGTCGAAAACCATACTGATCGGTCACTCTCTTGGTGCCCATGTAGCTGGAATAGCTGCTCGCAATGCTCAAAACGAAATTAGCTTCGTTGTGGGTAAGTTTTTAACGAATTACATAAGTTTAAAGTCTATATATAAAGTAAAAATATTTTACGCAAAAAAAAGAAGTGCTATATATTTATTTTTTATATTTTAATTAATTAAGTCATGCACGTAAGCGTATAATAAATTACTTTCTTGTCGAATATCACTAAATTTTATAGATTCGAGAGATTTTTTAAGTATTATTTTTTACTTCTTTTTGTGAAAAATATTCTTTATGATATATTATTTTAATGTAGATGTGTCATAATACTCGTGATATTTATATTCTTTTTTTCATTAAATAAAGTTATATTAGTTATGTTAATTATATCGATATCAATTAATTATAAATAGCCAATGACATAACGCGAACTTATGCTATTCTAGGACTGGATCCAGCTTTGCCCGGCTTTTATTCAGCAGGTTCAGGATCCAGAATATCGAGCGGGGACGCGCAGTACGTGGAGATCATTCATACGAATGGCGGTCTCCTCGGTTTTTTGACAGCTATCGGCGATTCTGATTTTTATCCTAACGGAGGACAAAAGCAGGTCGGTTGTCTATTGGATATCGGCGGCGCGTGCTCTCACGCTCGTTCATTCAAATTCTTTGCCGAGTCCATCAGCAGCCAGTTAGGATTCCACGGAAGAAGTTGCAATAATTTCATTCAATTTAAACGGGGCTTATGCAACGACAGGCCTACATCCCTCATGGGCCATAAGTCACAATTGCATGCGCGCGGTAACTATTATCTATTGACCAATTCAAAATTCCCGTTCGCAAACGGTCCGATTTTGACATAATTGTTCATAGAGAGAGAATCAGAGAGACAAAGATAGAGAGAGAGAGAGAGAGAAAAAGAAAGAGAGAGGAGAGAGAGAGAGAGAGAGAGAGAGGGAGAGAGAGATGAGATGAAAAACTCATGACTATGGCCGTCAGAGCGGAGAATTCTGGATTTGGAAATTCATTGCGGAACAGGAAGGAGATCCGCGCTGGGCTAAACTCGTTTCTCCCAGCAATCGATCGGACGCATTCACGGTGCGTAATTTCGTTTCCGCCCGCAGCGGCTGTTTCAAGCGCGAGTATTGCAAGCTCTCGTATCTCGCACGCGCGCGCTATTCTTATAATCCCATCTAAGCCGGGAAATCGATGGCTACTGGATCATCGGTATCATTTATTGAAAGAACAAAACAAAGCATTAACGGCCGCGCGACGTTTTGCTTTACCATCGACCCAATTATCAGCGTAAGCGCAAGCAGGGAAAGGGACGTATTTTGCGAAATACGTCTCATATGACGCAGAACGCAACGTAACATTTTATTGGAAATGCAAAATACTCGGAGGAAAGATACCCGGTGTTCTAAATGCAAACCAAGTCGGCGTTAAACATACATATCAATTTCTCTTCCGTTGTCCGTTTTCTCGCATACAGCTCGAACGCGCTTCGGTGCATCCCCGCGTGCAAACATCCACCGAGATACACGGCCTCTCGAAACGCGAATTGCTCGGACCAGCTGCGAACTTAGTCGCGATGCATTAAATTTTATCGTAATATATCTCGTGTATATCGTGCATAGCAACAAAGATAATAAGGCGATACGGGAAACAGTTGGATTAAACCGCGCGTTGAATTTTAGGCTCCAGGCTGTTTCAAGTAAACAGACGCAGATATTTATCATTTTGATATAATGTACGAGCTAAAGTTGAAAAGCAGTTTTGCAAAGTAAGAGAAACCATCTCGCTTGTAACGAGAATCTTTTTCGTCAAATAATTTTAGCGTAGACGTAGACACAATGTTGATCGCAGCAGCTGCGATAATTACGACTGATATCTAATGCATTAATTGTAATCATTATTCTTCGAAAAATCGGTTAAATATTCTAAAATTATAATGCCTGATAATCATAATCAATTGCGTAATGTTCAATACAATGAAATGTGATAAGATTTATACAGAGCACTAATGTACAAATAAAATTATTATATTTTTACAAAATATCAAATATATGCCTCTTTTATTATATACCCCATTTTTTATTTTATACCCCATTTTAAATGATCTATAATTCGCGAAAAAATTTGAAACTTTAGAAATTTTAAAACTTTTAGAACTTTAGAAATTTTAGAATTCTATACATAATCTTATGTCTCATGTAATATACAGGAAACATTTGAAGAAGTAAAAATATACGCATATACAAAATATATATTAAGATACATATCTGTCAAAAAATATGCAGTATTTAAAATCACAGATTCTTATTTAAAAATGTTTTGTTTTAAATTATAAATCATTCAAAATAATTACAAAACTAAAATCTATAATAATCAATTACTTTTAGTCATATTGTAATAATTATGATGCTTTGATCAAAAAATCTTTTAATAACCGAATGCCTTTTATCAAATAACATTTGAAGTAATTGAATTGTTTCGTAAGATTCAATTGAAATGCAAATGCTGAGTTGTAATTTACGTTATACAAAAAATATTTACATTAAATATTAACATTAGAATCATAAAAGATGCCTTGTCAATATATCAAATAATAATATATATTTGAGATAATTGAAAAACAGATGCATACACATGTTCAAAAGATATTCGTGTATTAATATTTAAAATCCTACAATTGATATAGAATGCTCAGTTTAAAACAATTGATTCTCATCGCTAAATTATGACGTGATATCTATAAGCGATAAGGTGCCGAATGTTTCCATTATAAATGTATCTATAGGCTGTGTGTGTATCAATTGTTCGCGCTCGCAATTGAAATATCTGCGATAAAAGTTGGCGTAGCCAAGCGAGTTTCATTAACTAGTGAACAATAGGTTTGCCGGATACAAGCCAGCCACCTGAGATGAATAAGGGTCCCGAGCTGGGATAGACAGACCGAAAAAATCCTGATGCAGGACGTCCCAGATAGGAATACATTTTCTTGAGCAGAAAAATATTCCTTCGTATTATTTATCAAGATCCAATTACATCAAACACAATGATTTTCATCCTTATCACTAGAATATCACACAATCTGATATATCATTTTTTGGTTCACATATGTAAATTCAATCTTATTACATTATATGTATTATTACGTGGCTTAAATCATGTGCTGACTTTTGATAAGGTCAAATTATCGATCAAATTTATTGATAGAATAGTATAAATTTTGTTATTAATTCTGAAATCTATGAAAGTATTATGCACACGTCATGGTATTCATTTAATATAGTTAAGTAACTATCAATTTCTCTTTTAAATTTTGCTTTATTTTACATTATTTTATTTTGTTTTAGACAGAATATATATTTTCTGTATATTTGTATGTGTATTTGCGGTTTCTCTATTCTTCGTAAAACGAAAAAAATTATAACATCATCTATTCGCTTTAATGTTCGAAAGTGCAAGTCCTTAAATTAGATTTACATAGTCCTAAAATTCAAATACAATTGGCGCGTAGAGAAGCACGTTATTCAATTGTAAAGGTAATAATTCTTTTCTTGTCTGACACGGCCTGTCCGAGGTGTAGGTCAAGATTAAAACCCAAAATTGACGTAGAGGGAAAAATTAAAGTTGTAAAGTTTCTGGTATCTATCAACACGAGACGGGTCCATATATCAGCATACCTAGCGTTCGTTGCCTGTGTCTCAACCGTGGAAGTGTTGTCCTTTCCGTCGCGTTCAAGTTGTAAGCTTGTCGGGGACTATTTTTTTCCCGGTACGAAACAATCCCCTTGGCGTTCATTTTTTGAAAGTATCGACACCGAACGAGAATTTATTTGCTCCTTTTATAGTTGATGTGTCGTTCAAGAAAACCATTGTGTGTATATACATGTATGTTTGTATAAAGCTGAAATATTTTGCTAGAAATATTTAAAAACGAAAAACAATATACATATATAATAATATATATTTACGCTAGTTTTCTTCACAGCTGCTTTAATTATTTATTACATCTCTTAAGCCCTTTGTAAAAAACAGATTAGGAATATTAATATTATAATATTGTGTGAAAAAACTAGCGTAAATATTTTGTTTACGAGTCAAAAGATTACACAATAATATAATTTATAATATAATTTATAATTTACAACTTATAATTTGTGCTCAAATATAGCTTCGAATGAAATACAGAATGTCAAGAAGCTACGTATTAAGTAAAAGAAAGATAACTATTATTGCACGAGTATTATCGCGAAAGTCGATGATGATTATCATAGATAGTCTTATTACGGAATCTAAGAGCAATGCAAATCTAAGAGTACAGAGTGTACAATAACGTGATCGTCGTCATAATATTATTCTATCTTTAGCCGGAAGCAATCTTCTTATATCGAAGCTTCCAATTAGGGAGGCGAAATAACACGGCGAGTGTATAACCAACGGACTCGTTTCCGCTGGTCACCCTTCGAGGTAGGTAGGTATATTTAATAATTGCCGCACTTCACTTTTTTTGTGCCTTTGCGGCGACTCGTTTGGTGACCAGTTATGAATGTGAGAAACCGGAACGACGAAGGGTTTAAAAAAAAAGGGTCACTTATTTCGAGAAATACGTCTACTTTCACGTACGTGAGATGTTTTTTATGCATTCGTGTATTCGATCTTAGAAAATAGAATTATTTTGTTGGACGCTCCTTCTTGTCAGATATCTTGAAAGCGATTCACACATTCGATCTGTCATTATCAGTTAATTGATCGAAATCGTTATTGTCGCCGTATATTTTGGGGCGTTCGTGTATTATTATATATGCGCACGCATACAGTAATCATCAGAGTGTGCATCGCGAGGTGCTCTTTAATGGCATGTATGTGTATACAAACTACATAAAATAATTGCTAAATGAATCGCCCCGCTGTTTTTCCCGCCGTTTAAGCGAACTTATTAAGCGAATATTTTAATTAACGCGGCGATTAATCACGTAGATCACACATCTGATCGTCACGTTTACGCAAATATATTATTTACGCATTTCCAAAGAGTATCCATCATATGCCGAGGAAATGAACTGATAATATTGCATTATATGCATAATTGCGCCAATTATGGGTGACTTTTGTTAACTAATTATACGAGATTCTGGAAAATTCTGGAAATGTTTTTCCGATAAAGCATCGAGCACATGGCGAGCGCATATCGAATCAGATGCGTAGATGAAATTTCATAATCGCGAGGAGGGAGGAGGCGCACGAGAAAGAAATCGTAGGGCGAGTAATGGGAGAGCGGACGACGAAAACGCATAATTTTAGATCGTAAATACGTAACCCGAGCTAGGGTGGTCATGCACTTACGTTTAATTGGTTCTTATGACGGTCATCTTAATTGACCGAGCGACTATTATCGGATAGGATTACCGTGTATTTATACGGTACCTTATGGTCTTCGATGTGACTCAACTCGATTTAGAAAGGATCTTTCATTCTCAGAAGTACACTAGAATCTATTTAATTAATCGTAATAAGATATAAGGCGTGTTCGTGTGCATGCGATATATAAATGCTTGGTAACTAATTAACGTTTTACGGGCAAGAAAAATTGTTTACAAATAATCGCATATTCTTTGATGCATATAAGAATACGATTCATGGTAATCTGGAGTTTCTAGAAACTCGTTGTAAGAACTCGCGAGATTTTTCTCGCATTTTCAGGAAGCGATGAATAAAATCATACGTGACGAACGCCTGAATCCGACTACACGAGGTTTTCCAAAAGTGGTCAAGGTGGGGCTGGGTGGACAGGTCGTTAATAAAGCTTGAAGAAGGGCCATTAATCACGGGCTATCTCGGAGTCGAGCTTGCTCGTGTAAATACCCACGGAGATATTTACCCAAACGAGCGTAAGTTGTGCGTACGCGTCGTCATCTCTCCCCTTTCAATCCCCTCGTACGTCATCACGCGTCTTCGACTACGACGATCAATGTAAAGAACTCGGCGATAAAAAGCGAAAAAGAGCTGGACGGCTGGGAGGAGAAATGGGACCGGGGATGAAGAGGAGGGTACCTTCAGTCCAAATATTGGCTGTCCATTTATCAAGCGTCGAAGGTTCGATCCGCGCTAATTAGCTTTCTTCCTGCGCCACGTCTCGAATTCCGCTCCTGCATCGCGCGCGACGATTCGCGCATATAACGCTCCTTTATTTATTGCTCTTTTGATCTTGGATGCATTGATAAACTACCGGCTCATATCACAAATACGATTCGTCGCCGACTATTAAATCACACGTTGACTCATTGACATTAGTTTTGTAAGAGTCAGAAAGAATTGAGTTGTCTTAGCAAAAATCATGTTGCACCTTTCAATGGGATTTTTGTGCTGTCTTGATTACTTTTTTAGAAAATCAAAAATAATTCTGCGTATAATTCAATCTATGAATAATTGTTAAAAAATATGTATTCGTATTGCAAAATATTATGTGATAGAAATAATACATGTTAAGAGAATCACATGAATTTTCTACAGGTGATCTTTCATTTAATACAAATAAAAGTAGATAAATGATCGTACGTATAATTATTCTTAATCGTAAAATTATTTCTCTCGTAAAACTTGTTTATTTACTTTTTATGATTCCAAATTCTAACACTATAAGATCATTAGATTATTCTAAGATTGTTAGATTTTAATATCGGTTATTGGTATTAATTCAATATGTGATCTCTCTAATTTCAAGATAAGATAAATTTTTACCTTTAACAAAGTAATTCGGTGAAATTTGCAAACACTAATTAATTAATTATGATCTTTGATCATCGCGATGCGAAATGATGATATAACGAGGTTCATTGGAAACTCGTTGGAATTTCCCAAAAAACAAAAATGGTTTTTTACCTATCATCTGTAATGACGCACGGTTAACAAAGATGGCTGACTACAAACGCTTTATGTCTGCGAGTGTATATTCACTTGCGCACGAGCACACCCACATACATACACGTACATACGTGAGACACGGAGACGCCATTGGGA